TTATGTTTGTAAATATTTAAATACCATAATAAAAGTGATATAAGTCTATATGAGGCCCTAAAATACAGTCAGCCCCTTCCTCACTGTGGCTTCTGCATCCACATATTCAACCAGGTATGAATCAAAACATACTTTTTAAAAATTGCATTTTCACTAAACACATACAACTTTTTTCCTGTCATCTCTATCAACAACAATTTACACAGCGTTCACATAGTACACAGCATCATACACCTAGAGACAATTTTAACCTATAGAAATATGTGCACAGGACTTACACAAATAACATACCATGTTACAGAATGGACCCAGGCATCCGGATGTTTATATCCACGAGGTTTTCTGGAACCAATCCCCATACATGTCAAGGAGCAGCCATCCTTAGTTCTTTATTTTTAAAGAGGTGGACATGGTCCACAATTCTGTGAGCAACGGCTCTGCAGGGCTCATCTCACCTACCCCACAACATGAAACACCATGCAAGGAACTGCTGGGACACACACACCTCTGCCCAGTAAGGCTACTGCCCCAACTTATGTACTAATACACTTAAAGAAAGCATATGTGCATTGGAAACACAGCTGAAACGCACCATACCTTGATTATTGATTATAGTAATGCATACAAACTATGGTCCCAGGATGAGCCTAGAAACATAATTCAGCCATCTTTCATAAGCTCCTGTTTCACAAACATCCATGTCAAAATGATGGTAGGCACGGTTCCAAGGTACTAGACCTAAGCCTGAGTCCTCACCCTACAGGTTCCAGGCCATTGATCAGATCACTCACTCTCTCTCCTGTTCAAGTGTGGGACAAGAATGAGATAACAGCTGTGAACACCTCTGAACTTCCTAGGTGGACAAGTACAGAGTACACGGTGCTATCACTGCACAACGCTCGAGGACAGTGAACTCTGTGTGTATGTGGCTCAGGACTGGATAAGTAATTGGGTCAACGAACATTACTGTGTGCCAGCTGCAAAGAAAGTGCACAGCTGACCTTTCAGGAGACAGAAAGATTATACAGATGGAGATTGCAATTCCCAAATCCTTCTGCAGTGGGAGAGAGCAACAAGAACTGTAGCCAGACTAAAGGAAGGGCTCTGAAGAGCTACCGGCAGAGGTGCTGGTGCTTCCTGAGCCGGGTGCTGGCCGTGGGCATCACTTTTACAGATTCTACATTCCCTATGCCTACATCATCACAATTTACCACTGATGCTATTATTTTTTAATGAAAAGGTCAAATAAATACCTTTCATTAAATGCAAGCTTCTTAAAGGAGAGTCTTTTGCTTTACAGCATTCTTTTCAAATGAGGCATCTGTTTCAGCCAATTGCTCTTGGTATTTTCACCGTAGTGTGCTAACCTTCACATGGGGTCACACAGGGCTGCTCAAGCCCAACTGCCCTGTACTTGGTAACAGGCTCACAGCCTGTTTCTTTTTCCTTCTCCCAGGCTCATCCCAATGAATCCGAGGAATCTGATGCTCCTCATTCCCACTGCCACAAGGTCACCATAATGAGTGCCCAGCAGGAGACATGCGATGATGGCCTCAGAAGGGCCTCCCTGGGCTCCCAGGCTACAGTGAGATACCGGCTGTCCAGGGAGGCACCTCCGCTCCTAATGGGGAGAAATGATCACACTGCAGAAACACTGTGTGTGCAGACAGCAGCAATGGTGCAGGAGAGACCTGAGAGGGAAGGGTGCAGGAGAGATCTGAGAGGGAAGGCTGGAAAGCCACATCCCTGAAGCAGGTCCTTTACCTTAGAGACTAGGAAAACAAGGGCCCAGTGCCTTCTTAGTAGCAGACTCATGATAAGACCTCAACCCTACTTTTGCTGCTGCGTGGCCTCCTCTCTGTTCTCCAGCCTCCACTCCCTCAGGCTGTGCACTCCAGGGACAACACAGACACAGCCAAGAAACTAAAGGAAGGGAAGACCGTAAGTCAGTCTGTAAATAGTGTCCTCGGTGCACAAGTGCAGATACTCAAGGTCCATGCCCACATTGCTCATGCAGAGAAGAGAAATAAATCACAACTTCTAATTTGTTTCACTCCAGTGAGCCTTTACCAAACACCTGCCATGTGCAACAGCCACTGCAATGCGTTAGGCAACACGAATCCTAAAAATGTGCTCCATGGCCTTCTGATTCACTGGGGGATACCAAAATATATCAGGCCATACATTAAATTGTACTGTTACTGATGTACATAAAGCATTCAGAGACCCGGAGGAAAACACAAGAAACGTTAACTACAACAACTGGGGCTAGAGTTCAGGGTATGATGAAGAATTTGCAGAAGAGGTAATATTTTCATTGAATCTATTAAATAAAGAGTACTGCTTTCATCCAGCAGAGAAAGGCGAAGAAAGGCACTTCAGAGAGCAGAGTTAACATGACCACAAGGACAAGTCAGACTGCATGGCATGCTTGGAGAACAGCAAACAGTGAGAATGGAAGTATATCAGCAATGCAGATCCAAGTAAAGTGGCTCATGAAAAGCCCGGCATGCTCCGCCTCAGCATCTGGGCACTTCTCAAGTGAGTATGTGAGGGACTGGCACTCGCCTGGGCAGCAGGATGGAAAATGGACTGGACACGAAGACACTGGGCACAGGGAAACACTGCAGGAAATCACAAGGTCTCTCCTGGCATACTCTGAGCAATTTCCAAATCTGAAGACACTCATCATAGAAAAAGATCTGTATTTCTCAAATGTATAAGTAAGAAGTGTCTTCTCTTGGGCTCCTCCTTTGCACAGCTGAGATTCTATGACTGGAGCAGCGTCAGGTAGTAATATGGTCACGCAGAGGGCAGGTGAGAGCACACTTTAACCCCACACCCTTCATGTAGTCAAAAAGCTCCACTGGAGGCAATCAGGATTCACAGGAATGGAAAAGGCAGCCTGAATCCCCAGACAACATGCATACTCCACCTCTCACTTCCTGAGGCCGCTTCTATGATGTGGTCATTGGTGCCCACTGGCCTACAGTCAGGGTACTACTCACTCTGCTCCAAGCACCTTGCTCTGAACTGAGCCATACACAGACCAGTGGGCAGCTGCAAGAGAGGATGGATGGCTCAGGAGTCATCAACATAACCCAGGCATGGAGATGAGGCTGAGCCCGTCAACAATCCCACAGGCAACTTGGCTAAACAGAAATGAGCTGTGTTCTCCCAGTCACCTGAGAAACTGCAGGCTTCTGAACCAGGCTGATTTTAGGTGACAGCTGAGCACCCTTCAACTGCAAAGAATATTCCACAAAGGAACATAGGTGGAGCTTGGCCAAGTAAGGGACACAGTACGGCCTCCCCTTGGGTTCACTGTCTTAGCATATCCTTCAAAAGTGTTCTGTAAGATGATACAATACGTGTGAACTGTGTTTTATATGTGTAACTTAAGATAATTTAACATGCACATATTGAAGTATTGGTGGGGATATGTGATGAGCAAGATTTGGAAACCACTGTGACAAACCCAGGGATTTCACTCACTCAAAGAAGAACTTCTGCTCTGCAGACAACAGAGCATGTCACTGAGATCAACTTAATCACGCCTTGTGCCACACACACAAGTGAAAAAACAGCCGGCACGATAAAAAGAGCATCATTTTATATTACTTATGTTTGAAAGTTTCTTCCACCAATGTTAGATCTCGTACACCTTTCTTCCCACCTAGAAAATGTTGACAAAAGTCATTCAGGAAATAAATAACTTTGCCTAAAACTGAGCTGTGTTTAAAAAGCTAAGATCATCTCTATACTTAACAAACATATTTTTAAACAATTTATTCTGTTTAAGAGGCACTCTAAAGAAATAAATAAATGCATATATATGTATAGCTCAAACTACAGTTTACATTTTTACTAAGGTAGAAAAATCACATCATGTGTCACTAAAAAGTGTGTGTTATATTCAAATTACATAGTCCATAATTTCATGTCCTCTGCAATATTTGAGTAAAACTATGCCTTATTTATAGTATCTCTGGATTGTATATATGTACAAAAATATTTTTAACTAGACTATGAATAGGAAAGGAGTACATCTAGAAATACTTTTGCCTTTTATTTCTATCAACTGTGGACTCCAGAACTTTTCCCAATCTGAGAGTCTCTTAATTTTTAACTTTCTGTAGGCTCTAATCAAAGTTCTCATATTTCAGATAACATGGATTAAATTTGCATTTGATTGTCAATAATTACAATGATAAATCATAGGTTAATTTGACTGCAATTTTAATGCTGAAACTCCAGGTTAGTCTGTAGTAACAGCCTATTGTTTATACTCACACATTAGCTAAACTTAAATCCCTGCTTGCGTGCAGTGCACCAGTTTGGACACTGCTGGGAAGAGCAAAGAGATTCCTGGATGTAAAGTGAGTCCCCTCCCTGCATTCAGAGACACCCAGCACCTAGCACAAGCAAGGCTGGCACCTGGCAGATATAATAAATCCTTCCTCCCTGCCCCTCCCCAGGACTTTCCAGCCCAGTAGTCCCAGAAAGTGAAACTAGAGGGAAAAAATCTCCTAAACTTGCAAATAATTACAATGTTGTTATATTCTTGCTCACATACAGCTATCTGACAATAATTTCCATCTCCCCCTGCGTAATTAAAATCTCATGTCTTTCAGAGAAAGCACTGAGACTCACTGCATGGTCTATTTCTAGTTTTAATTACAATGCTTGGCAAAGCTTAGATCATTTCAATTCATTTCAAAAATAACTCCCATTCAATACAAGATGGGAATTTTCACACTTGTGAATTTTTATTTTCTTGATAATGAAGATCCTTTGGCATACAAAGCATTTGCTTAGCAACTTCAGTCCAGTGAAATGCAGAGTTGATGATCTATTAATAAAAATGGAATAGCTTACCTCAAAAAGTAAAAACTGACACACACTTTTCTGCTTCACTTCTAGCTCTTTTTAATCTAAAGAAATGCAGCTCAAACCAAACATGGGATGTGGAAACCAGCAAAGTGTCTCCCAGTACTTACTGATCCATACAGCTCGCCCTTCTCATTCATCCCGAGGTAGAGTCCACTGTCCACGCCACGAATGCTGACCAGGCCCACTGCTATACTGATAAATTCCAGAATGCCTGTGACCAAACATCAAAAGGCAAGGAGAGGTTAGAGCACAGAGTGCAGCCTAGAGCCTGTGTCTGGGGGGATGGAAAGGGAGCTGGGCCCAGTGTCCCCCACAGGTAACTTCATACAAGATAAAGAAGTGTCTTTCCTTTTAAAAACTATAGTCCCAAAGAACTGATCTGTCAGCTAAATTGCATCTGGACACCAACATATTACAGCATGAAGCAGACACAGTCTAGATTCTCCCAGCCACCTGGGCAGGTAAGGCAGGAGGATGGCTTCAGCCCTGGAGTTGGAGGGTAGCCTGGGCATCATGGTAAGACCCACACACTTACCAACATGACTGACATAATAACGAGAACTAGAATCCACACAGACATGCTCAAAGTGACCGATCAGCCAATGTACTTATCTTAATAAAAGAACATCAGCATACGATAGACTTTAGTTGAAACATTATTTAAGCAGAGAGATTTGGGATGTGGGTGGGCTACTTCCACCTCATAAATTCGAAATTAAGTGCTTGCATTTGGACATCTTCACCTTGGACTCCCTCTAAGAATATGAGAAATAAACATCTGTTGTTTAAACAACAAAAAATTGTACACAGCACAGACCATACAAAGTTCCTGTCAAAGAACAGTCTTGTGTCTCTCAGGATATGAGCAGGAAGCGCTAACTAGAGCCTTGATTGCTTTACACAGAAATTACCCACCTCTAGTTGCATAACTTTACTGAACTCCAACTGAAAAACTAAACTAGTCCACACACATTCTGAATATCCTTGCTTGATTTTTCAAATTCCATCTATCTTATATTGATACAAAAATACTTTTTGTTTGTATTGATTTTTTGTTGCACTTCTAAACCTCAAGGCCATAGTTAAGCAGTTAAGACAGCATCATATTCTGGAGGGAAAAATATCCTAGCCCCCGAAACAACACTGATTTAAAAGAGGCATGGAATGCCATATCCCCAAATCAAACCTAACCATCTGCCTTTATTTCACCCTCCCTTTGCTTACCTCACTAAGAATAACTACACCTAAGCTGGGCATAAATCCAGGATTTTATGGCCACACAATAGCAGCTTTATATTGTTGTTTTAAGATGATTATCCCACAATATATTCAGAGTACTGCTAATATCCCTTGTACTCAACCATTTTCGCATTTTTGCTATAAATTAAGGCGTTACACTTTGTGTGGAGCTTACATCAGTGTATACCTAATACTGAGCTCTTTAAGAAATATCTTCAAATACTGAAAAAATTTACTTACATTTAAGAGTTTAGCAAAACCTTAGGATAACACTGTTCTATAGTCAGTCTCATATGACTAATAAAAAAGCACTTATGTGGATTTTTAAGCAATTAATTCCGCAACTGTCACAAAATAGACTGTGGTATAATCAAATGAAGACATAAACTACATAAATCTAATAAAGAAAAGAATTAACTCAGGAGGAAACTCTGCTCCAAGATGTTGCAAAAAAAAAAAAAAAGAGCCATTTCTTCTACAAAAAAAAGCATTTCCAATTCTTGTATAAACATAAAACACTAAAAATTGTTTCACACATATGGTTTCCAGAATATCTATCTGCACATGCAAATGTACTGATTTTAATAGAACATGAACAGGTACCTGGGAAAGTATATAGAAAAATTACAATTTGACTCTAATAACCTCTGACTATACCATGGAAGATGCACCTACAACAAGCCAATCGATGACTTAGAAAACAAATGGGATAATCCAGGCAACATTTCCATGAGATTCATTCCACATGAGGCGTGCTCTCTCTCTATGCAATCACTTTATTTCATTTTACCCTTCCTAACTCAGGTTTCAAATCAGAGAGTCAAACCTGTGACTTACTATTACTATTAAGCATCTAGTTCCCATGAATCTCTTAGCTCCCAAGCACACCACAGTCTAAGCTACCCACATTCTGGTATTAGCATAAGGAGTTAACTCACCTCCTGTTCTCATTCTAACATGAAGTTTGGGGAATATTTTGCTCCCATTGAGGTCTGAACAATCTAACTTACCAAGTCAGTGAAAAGAAGTTTGACCATAAAACTAAGAATACTTGTACCCTGTATTGCAAAGAAGGGAGACAACCTTTTTGCTTTTCCTAAGCACAAGGCAGCTCTGAAAACTAATGAGTACTGGCCAGCCATGCCCACTGGTCTGATCAAGAACATGACTTGGCAAAACCATTTAACAGGCTGCTGTGTAAACATCAAGAATAACAACAACAACAATAATCATCATCATAATTGCTATGCATCGTAATTGTTAAGCATTTGGTCTTTGCCAAACGAGAGGCCTTCTCTTGCTCAGTCTTAAAGACAACACTGGGCATTACAATGTTTTAATCCCTCGGGTGCAAATGGGAAAACTGGTATTTCAGAAGCTTACATAACATGTCCAAAGCAATCAGACCTTAGGCCTATTTCCTTAACTGCAATACACATCTTGCATTTGCTTTCGTCTTTTTTTCCACGTGTTTGTGATTTCTGTGTCATTTGCACATAGGTAAGCTCTAAATTACTGAAAACCTAATGTGGAAAGTATTAAGATGTCTATGTTGATTTTTCCTGGTATTAAGACAGCTGAAATTCAAATGCATTCATCTATTCATCCAATAAACTATTACTGAGCAACTACTGTAAGAAAAGCACCCTGCCACTCACTGAGGATATAGATTAGATAAGCCCCGGCCAGGCCCAGCACTGTCCAGCTGCTCACAGCTGCAGCAGTGCTCCCTCATCTGTGTGTGGGGTGCATTCCTTCCTTGAATGCCTTCTGCCGCTGAGAGCACCAAACCCTATACACACAACATCTTCCCTACATATGCATATCTATCATAAACTTTAACTTACAACTTGGGCACAGTAAGAGATTAACAACTAATAAGCCAGAACATTTCCAATACATATTTTCACTGAAATTACTTAAAACTTATGAATTATTTCTGGATTCTCCACCTAATCTTTTGAGACCACAAATGGGCACAGGTAACTGAAACTGCAGACAAGAGGGGACTGCTGTAACAGGAAGCACGAATAACCAGGTGACCACAGTGGCCATGCAGTGAGGGCATAAGAAGCAGGCGATGTTCAAGGTGTGGGCAGTGCCCTTCAGGCTAGGGAAAGCAAGTCAGAGGCAAATACTGAGCCAAGTCCCTGAGGAGCTGTCCACACAGAACAGAAGGATCTGCCGACCTGTAAGATTTCGCCACTTCAAACCACCCACTGTGTCTCTGCAGCTTCTGGAAGACACCGACCTCCAGAGAACAGCCCAGATTTTCATGAGGTCACTTCAGTGAGCAAGGGCCAGAACTCGGAGTGTGAGTCACGGTTCTCTCCCACACCCAGGGAGGGCCAACACTTCGAGGTCAAGTAGACCTGGCAACCTGCTCAAGGGATCCCACCCAGCCGGAGAGGAATCGTTATCATTCCCGGTACCATCTTGTCCATGATGAACTCTAGCACCTTGAGGAGGTCAGGGAAGGCCTTGCCAGGCCAGAGGTGGTACCCAGTGAGTGCTTCCAGCAGGCCTGCCCTCAGTTAACCCTGCAAACACAAGTAAGCACCATGAGACCAAAGGTGCGGGATCCAGGTCAGCTCTGGAGAAGGCTGCTCTGTAGTGACCCTTGAGTCTTTCACAGCTAACAGGAGATGACCAACAGGAGACACAGAGGAAAGAAGGAAACGATGGGACTGTGCCCAAAACTAAAAATTATGGCCCTCATCAGAGAATCACAAGGGCCTGTCCCTCTTCCCAGCAGACACAACCTAGACACCCTCCACCAAAAGAGTCACAGGAAGGTGTAATGATGGAACCACACAGGACTCACAAGGTCAGTGACTAGAGTTATTTCCCTATTCTCTTTCATTGGAGCCACCAGTCCCAAAACAGGATGTTTACTGGGCTTTGCATGGTCTTATGATGCCCCATATCACCCTGTGACAAGAAGAAACCAGGAACTAACCATATCAAGTCTCTTTCTCTCTCTCCTGGTCTCCAGATCTATTAGTGATGGCTCCAGGGTTGGTGGGAATTCCCTTCCCCCTACAAATGGATCATTAATCCCACAGCTGGCCCAACTACCAGATTGCTGAATTAATGACTGAATGCATGTGAATTTCATCTACCCTGTCAATACCAAGAAAAAATTAGCAGAGGCATCTTAATATTTCATATATACACATATGAATAAAGAGACACGGGCACATCAAGGACTTGTCGGAAGTCACTGCTTTCCCCTTCTTGGCACAGCTTCAGCGCACCGGGAGAGCCCTCCCCAGGTGCCAGGTCACCACTCCCAAGCCTACACAGAGATCCCAGTCTGCCTGAGTCTGCTTAGGAAATGATCAGCTGAATGGAAGGAGAACCACACAAGTTTTCTAGGATCTCAAGCAAGCCTTTAAAAAAAATGGTCCCTTAAAGAGGCAGCCCTAGCCCTGATGAGGTATTGATCAAGCAAGATACACTACCAAGAACATAATGTTTTAAAGTGCAACACTCCAGAAATAAATTTTTTAACCTTAATTTATTTTTTTAAAATGCACGCTGTCATGTTTTTCCCCTCTGGTGCAGCCTGGACCTGACACCTGCCTCCCTTTCCATGGACAGCCTCAGTCTTGGTGCTCACGGGGGAGGGGGGGGTGTCCAGATAAGGTTCAGAGCCTGCAACCCATCCCAGAAGGTGGCCTGCTTGGGCTGCCCCAACCCAAGCACAGCGCTGTATTTCTCTACACTACCGCTACCCAGTCGACTTTCTGCTGCCATTTTTTCCCCATCTAGCAAGGTCGGACTGCTTTAAAAGTGAAAATGGGGACGTGAACAACCCCTCACAGCCCACCACAGCCCGAGCGCCTCAGACTCAACCCCCACTCTCTGGGCTCCAGCTCACCTCCACACCCCCACCCCAGGAAAAGACAAAAGGCTCGCTCAGAACCCCACCTCCACCGCCCCCGCAGACTGCGGTCCTGCAGGAACCGTGAGTGGCCCCACACCACCCACGTCCTGCACTGCGCGCTGGGTCTCGGCCAAGCTCGCCAGCAGCTGCAGTCACCTGCGGCTGCACGGGGGCGGCGGAAAACAGCTTTCCAGCGCGTTTCCTTCTGCGGTTCGGCTTCAGGTAGAAAACGCACCTTCTATTTTAATGAAGGTGTAAACGCACCCCACCCCCACCCACGGTTCCTCTGCAGCTCAGGGCGCAGGCGGGAGCGAGGGGCAGAGGCGTGGCCCCAGCGCCAGGTGTGCGGAGCGCGGTCGCCCGGTCGCAGCCCCTCGGCCCCACCGGGTACCTCCGCTGCCTCCGCCCGCCCGGCGCCGCTGGGTCCTAGCGCTGCCACCGCGGCAGCTTCGTCTCGGGCAGGGCCAGGCGGGCAGGCGAAGGAGGCTCCGGGCACACGGGCTGCGCGCGGCACCGCAGAGGTTGCTAATATTGGGACCTGCCGCAGAGGCAGCCGCGGAGACCGCGGCATTGCCGTCATCCCGGGGCCGCTTTTTGCTGCAGCTGATGAAAGACTTAAATAACCCTCCTGCCTCTTCCCATCCTCCACAACCCCACCGCGCGCAGCCACCCACTCAGCTCCAGCCAGCCTGGGTGAATGGCCCGGCCCACGCCACCGCGCCCTTCCCCCGCGGCAGCGCGGGGCCGACCTGCTAGCTCGCAGCCAGGGACACATGGTGCGGAGCAATTAGGAGAGAGATGTCATTTCCTTAGCGACACCTCCAACCTCCAGGACCGAGGAGGGGTGAGGAAATCTGGCTGTTTTTTGTATGAGGGTCCCTGTTCAGCAGCGATACCTGCGGTCCTTGTCCGATGACCCCGGACTTGCCTCTCCTGCTCTGCCTACCCGCGTGGTCCCCACCCTTGCATCCTCCTCAGTGGCAGAGTTACCGAATTTCTGATGACTCGATTGCGTGTACCAAACGTCCTATCCTAAAGGCGAAAGCATATATACACACACACACACACACACACACACATATATCACAGGTGGGGTGGGGTGGAGGTACAAGGAGCAGCCCTAACTGGTACATCCCGTGATCTCCGGGCGCCTAGGCCCAGCCACGCTGCACTCCGGGCTGCGGCCGGAAAATTCGCACAATGCAGCTGACGGGACCCCGGCCGCGGCGCCCCGCAGCTGTGCGCCCCCGCCGCGTCCGCGCGCACCCGGGCTACAGGAGCGCAGACCCGGCGCCGAGGCGAGGCCAAAGAACGCCGGCCAGCGAGCCCAGCCCCCCGGTGCTGTGGAGCGGCTAACAATAGCACGCCGCCCCCTCCGCCCGCCTCAGCGGCCCTTTGTCCCCCCCACCCCCACCCCTTCCCCAGCGGCTCCGGCCTTGCCCGGCCGGGGGCCCCCACCCACCTCCCGGATACCGTGGCGCGGACCGACCCTCCAAAAGCTGGCTGTGCGCTTCGGTAGAGGGGAGGGGCTGGGACGCTGCGGCCGAGCTCTGGGTCCGACCTCCAGCGTCCTCTGTTGCCGCCGGCGACCCGCCTGCTGCAGCGCGTGGCTCCAGCCGCTCTCACACCGCAAACCACCGGGCTTTCCCCGGGCGGCGGCCGCCAGCCCCGCTAGCCCACACTCGCACACAAAGAGAAAGCGGAGGGGCTGAGCTCAGGCCGAAAAAAAAAAAGATCAGGGTCCCTAAACACTGCTAGAAGCGTGTGTACCCTTGCCCGCCGCCCCCCACACGAGGGATCCCCGCAGCACCGAAGGGCGCGCCGGAGCTCGCTGCAAAGGGAGCCAGAATGCGAGCGCGTTTAGGACCGCGCGGAGCAGGCCGGGCCCCGCCAAGTGCACCGCGGGGCCGCTGACCCGCACCTGCCGGCCGCGAGCGCCGAGCCCGGGCCGCTGCGGGACGCACCCAGCCCGCGCCCCGCCGCCCGGACGCCCGCGTGCTCGGCGGGAGGCCGCGCGGCCTGAAGCCCTCGCCTCCCACCCTGGCCTCCCACTGCCTGTTGTTCTGGTATTGAACGCTGGGCAGGCGGCCGCCCTTAAAGCGGCCAGATCGAAAAGCACTTCCAGCAAAGTTTAGTCTCCGCCACAGCCAGAGCTGCCTACTTCGGGAGCGGCCGGAGGGCGCTAATATTTCAGCCGAATCATGCACAGCAGAGCTACAACTTTTTCCCCCCTAGAAAGCAGCAAGAGGAGACTGGTAGAGAAATTTACTGGGCTAGCTTTGGGCTCAGGCTCCAGAGTAAGCAAAGGAGGAACCCCTGGGCCTCGGGTATCAGGAATCACCCCAGCCCAGACCTAAGCCCGCCTCACCTCTGGCAGCACCCACAGCCCCACGAAGCTAAGCGTGGAGTTATACTGTTCAACATCTGGCATTAAAGCACGAGGAAGAAACAGCACTGCAGTACTATGTGTTTTACGACCTAGTTTAAGTATTGTCAGGTGGGTTCACTCAGAAGTTAACTCCTTCCAACACTCTGGTAGCCCAAACTCGCTTTTTTAAAATGGGGGGGGGGTGCCTCCACCCCAGTCGGACTGTGTTAGCTGACTTCGTGCCTAAGGGCTGTGGGTGCCCCAGCAGGCACACGTGTGCAGGCATCAAAGTGGGCACAGTCACCACCTTCCAGTCTGCAGCCCTCGGTGCTGAGTCACAAATATCCTCGTTGGAAAATGAAATCCGAGGAATGCCCTTTAAAATTAGCTCGCAGATTTTGCACGCGCGCGCACGCACACACACGCGAGGGGGGGAGCGCCAGCCACCCAGAACCCCCGGCCAGGACTGCACACTATGGCAGTCTAAACGCAGAGGTTATAACTTGATAGCTGGAAGGACAAACTCGACTGGCAAGAGTTCTACCTCTTCCCAAATGATTTCCTCGGACACCTCTGAGGGGCTGCTCCCAAAGTCAAAACCCTGGCTTTAGTCCTCCTCCTCCTCCCCACAGAACTCAGTCAGCAGTCTTTGCCTACCGGGCTTGCAGACCCGCATGGGGGTGGGGTGGGGTGGGGAGAGAAATAGTACAATTGATTTACAATTCAAGAGAATAGTTATTAGAGGAAAAGGTGGGGGATTCTAATCTGGGCACAAGATACCCACTGATTTAAGGAAACTGCATTTTTATGTTCTTAGTAGTTAATGATTAAAGCTGTAAGCTTGTGGAAGCAGTCCATTCAAAAAAACTTCCTAAACCTCCCGCGTACATGATGCAAACCAACTAGGGACTTGTGCTATATTCATAAAACATAATCCCTTATTTTAAAAAAAAAAAAAAAGGCCCTTTCAGTGTAGACTTGCACTTGTCGAGTGCCAGCAGCAGATCTGCAATTCCGGAGGCTTTCTTCCCCGCTGAGCTGGCGAGAAAGAAGGGAGAGAGAGATACCTTCCCGCATCCCCCGCCCAGCCAGCACTACCTTCGCTTAGTTACAGGCGGAACAAGTCATCGCGTGGCCACTACAGGGTTAATGGTATACCTACCAAATCGGCTGTGGTCTTTCCTGGTTCCCTGGATAGTACCATTGGGGAAAATTTCTAAGTGAAATCCAGTCCTGCAGTAGAGCTGCCTCCGCCTGAGAATCCCTTTTAAATGATCCAAGTCCGTGACTGCGGGTCCCCTGGGGAGCCCCCCTGCTTCAGACTGACCCAGGTGGTCACTTAACAAAACCGGGCTGTCCACCGGCAACACGGGCACATTCCCAAACGGTACCGCATCCTGCACGCCAAAATAGTTCCCAACTTCACCTAAGGGAGCCATCAGACGACTGGGCTTTTGGAGCACAGAATAAAAATAATGGAGATGCCAACCCAGGCGCTGTTAGGCGAGGTACATCCAACTCCCCTCGCACTGCAGCCGCAGAGAGGGAAGGGGTCCGTGTCTTCAATCTATTCAGGGCACAAATAAAAGTAATCTGCTGTTTCACTGGCAGAGGTTCAAGGTCAAAGCACTGCGAGTCTAGGAAACCACTTTACACTCGCACACGGACATACTGGCGAACATTATCTATTAACTGCTTCTCTATAGATGGATCCCCGGCGCTCAGCAGGCAAGGTCTTCATCCCATCCGACCGTAACGAGGAAGAAAATCCGTAGTCTCTCCATCTGCCTGGAGAGCAGAATGACCATAGCCACTTAAATGCCTGGGCGTTATTATAGGGGTTTTTAAGATGCACGGGCTACGTCAGAATGTGCGGATCCTGACTCCGGGAAGGCATGCGCTGTTTTTACTCTCTGCCCGACTCTGCAGACATCAGCATGAATCCTTCAAGGGGAAAAAAAATCTCACGTTGGCGGCGGCGACCGATCCTCCCTCCCAGCCCCCCTGCAAAAAAATTAATAATAATACAACAAAAAGAAGGGGAAAACTTTAGGCGTCCAGAGCTGGCGTCCAGGCTCCCCCGGGGCTCGGCGGAGGCGGGCTGGCCGTGCGCGGGCGGCGGCGGCGGGCGACGAGGCGAGCCGCGTCCCAGCTCGCGTGCGCCCGGGCTGCCGCGAACAGGTGTCGCCCGCCGGCCGCGGAGCGTGGCACCGGGCGGAGCGCTCCTCCTGCGCAGCCCCGCCGCGCGCAGAGTGGCGCAGGCGGCGGCATTGGGCTGGGTTTAAGGTAGCGCCGCGCCGCCCGGCGCCCCGCGGTCCTAGCGCCCGCCGCGCCCTGCACCGGCTCTGCGGCAGGCCGGGCGCAGCGCGGCGGAGCGCGCAACTTCCTGGGAAGAGGGACGAGGCGCCCCGGCTTCCGAAAGAGAGGCTGAGGCCAGAGGCGCTGCCAGAGGCGAGAGCCTCTGAGACTCCCAGTTCGCCCGAGGAATAAAAGAGGATCACCTCGAACCTAGCTCGCTGCACGGTGCGGGTTCAGAGTGAAACTGGAAACTGGTTTTCACGTGGAATCCGTGATTTGCATTGCATTACGCAGTACGAGTGGAGAGAGTTGAGGGGAAGGAGAGGTTTGATGGGTTTGAGTGAGCACAGCAGTTTCTCTTTCATTCTCCAGCAAACACACAGAAGCGCCAACTGTATTCCAGGTAAGGCAGTTGGGTGTCCATCTACACGCGCGCGCGCGCACGCACACTCACACACACACACACACACACACACACACACACACTGGCAGATGTGGCCACCGTTTCGGTTTTGTTAGGGGCGTTGCGATGCAGCATCGGGGCTGGGGCTGCGGCGCGGTCGGCAGGGGGGCGCCAGAGACCAGCCTCCGCGCCCCAGTTCTGCTAGAGACCTGGACGCGCGCGCCTCTTCGGGGAGTCCCGGTGGAGGAAAGAGGTCCTTGGGTGCCCTCTGCCCCCTACACCCCACTCTGAGGACGAGGTGAGCCGTGCTGAACCCTGCCGTGCCTCAGGACGCGGAGGGCTAGTCTCACTCAGTGTGTCCCTCCAGGGCACGAAGCCCGCCAGGCACGCGGGGCGCAAGGCGCTCGCAGGACACTGGGGCGCAGGCTCGCGCCCCTCTCGGACCTGCGGGGGAAGCCTGGCCTTTATCCCGGCTCTGGCTCTTGCCCGCGGCCGGCGGCCTACGGCCCAGCCGCGGGCAAGGACAAAGAAACTCACTGCCCGGGCCGAGCAGCCCGAGAGCACGGCGGGCGCGCCGTGTGTGCGGGGAGGGGGTGCGGGGGGCGACACGAAAGCGCTCGCCCTGCAGCCCGACGCGGGTCCTGGCTCCTTCCTTTGCTGCTCTTTGTTCACATTGTCTTAGAAATGCCCCGACTCGCGGGTCAAGATGGAGAAAGTTGCTGAGACAGGAGCAGCGCGTACGAGTCCGAAGCGGAGTCCAAAGCAAAGACAAGACCCCTGCTGGGCAGAAGCGAACCGGAGCCTTTTTACCAGGCAGAAAGTCAGCGCTGCCCACGACTCAGCTAAAGGCTGGAGGGGAAGGTCTGGAGCTGGCCCCTATTCCGGACGGGAGGGTTTCGCCGGAAGATGAAGGGAGCAATGAATTTGCAGATTTCAGGGGCGCAGGAGGTGCCGGCGACCTGGAGTGACCTTCCTCTGTCCTCCGGAGCGCAGGGCGCACTCCGCAACGGCGTGGAGGAAGAAGAGGGGCCTGGTGGTCCTCCCCCTCCTTCCACTCCCTCAGCCCTCTGCTGCAGTCCAGGCCCATTGGGTGTCCAGGGACCAGCTCGGTGCGTCTGGCTCACGAGTTTCTGGAGGAGGGCCCTGCCCCGTGGTTTTTACTGCAGTCACCTCCGCGGTGGAACAGAGCCAGCTTTCACGTTAACTGCCCGGTGACAGATAAAAGAAGCAGGGGGAGGAAGTGCCGCTTCTCATAAACCGCTAGAGTGGCTCTCATTAATCACCGAGGTGGCCCGCAGCGCTCGGTGAAACGAGGGCGTTACCGACCATTTGGTACAATGCACCAGGCTGGGTTACTTTAAAAAAAAAAAAAAAAAAAAAAAACTGATGGAAGACTGGCAGAAAGTGAGGCCGAGATGGAGACTGGGAACGGTTGGTAAGGGGAGCAGCACGTGGACACTGCCACTGGAGACGGGGCTGGGACTGTTTCCACCAGCTGTCTCCAACCACATTCTTTAGGTATGAATTTAGACTGTCATCCAATGAGCAAAGACCGTGGCTGCTTCCGAATCCTGAATCCTGCAGCGCAGTGACTGTCACCTTAAAAGCTATGCAGCCGGGAGAGGAGGGCAAAGGCGCTGATGGAGCACTTTTCCGGGTAGAGAAGCAGCCTCCTCATTCGGGCTGCTTTCTTCCACTGCAGCTGGGTTAGTCCTTGTGTAATCTGCACCCCCAGTTCCAACTGCTAGCAACCTGGCCTGGCCCAGTCCTTTCTCCGTGGACCAAATCGCCTTTCTACAGCACTCGCCCCACTCTGAGACTCACCTCCGCACCTTCCTTCACAGCCTGCCAGGACCACGAAGTCCTCACCTGATTTGGTGCTCCCAGGCTCAAAGAAGCCTGTGGCCTTGCTTTCTGGATTCATGTAGTATAGTGGGCTGAGTAACACCTACTGCAGAAGACAGATGGTAGAAATAAAAGAAACAGTGCACACTACACACCCTCTGTTAGATTCTGCTTTGCATGGTTCTTCCCTCTGATCACCCCTGGCCTTCTGACTAAGATCAAGCACAATTCCCCTCTGAATTTTCCACCTGTATCCAGCAACTCTGTGAGTGATTCAATTCCCAAAGCTCTCTTCTGCTGTTTCTCACCTGTCTTTTTTGCTATCTATTTAGCACTTAGACCTAGAAGAGATTAAATCACAAGTGAACTCAAGAGGGCTATGAAAAGGACCGAGCACCCAAACAGGAGTCCCCAGATCCCAAGCATGTCATCCAAACCCCCCCACCAGCACCCCCACATCTACTCCCTTGTGACTGCAGGCCCCAGTGAGGACTGGTTTAGATGCTTGTATAAAGTGACCTATGAACTACCAAATCTTCCATACATTTAAAGTGGTCACTTGAGGGGAAAAAAAAGAAAACTCTGTTCACTTCCCCGCCTTTGTTCATTAACTTGTGTCCCCTTTAATTTCCTTGGTGTGCAAATCACAGAACCCTTTCATTCTCTCCCCACAGGGATAGTCGGTTCCCAGTCTGACCCTGCCCGTGAGGTTAGGGCTTGGTAAAGGGAGAACCCTTGCAGCCAGCGTGCACTAACTTCTTCCTGTGTTTCAGACTCTATTAAGTATCTTTGTGCTCTGTGAGGGGAGTGTTAGTAAGTTTAGGTAACAGGAGCACTGCCACTGCATTCCACAGAGTGGGATCAGGTTTTGGACTTCAGATTGCCCTTCGCATCAACACCTTGTACTATGACAGGCCTATATCTTTAACTTTTTAATAACATGTTTCCACAAAATAAATATACAAGTGTCAATAGCAGGCAAATCTATTCAATAAATAGTTACACTGAGTGTATATCACAATCATACAATAAAAGATCTGAAGGAAAATACCTCAATTGCAGTGAGAGGAAAAGAATAAGAGATAATATCTCTAGGGATAGAATTAACAAAAAATGTGCAAGATCATATGAAGAAATATTTTTAAATCTCCTTAGAGATATGAAGTAAAACCTGACCAAATTAAAGGGCATATAATACTCCTGGGCTGAAAATCGCAATTTTAGAAAAATTTAGTCCTCCCTAGATTAACGTAAAAAGCATAATCGCAATAAAAGTACCAGCAAGATTTTTTAATGTAGACATATTGTTGCTAAAAATAATATAGAAGAGTAACATACATTGACAAAATTTTTGACATGAAGAATAAGGTAACTAGCATACAATAATTTTAAATAATTTAAAGCTTCAATAAATAAAATAATTTTTATATATGAATAATTCACATTGGCATATATGTAATAGATAAAGCAGTAACAGAGCAGAGATTATAAAAATACACCCAAATACACATTGGAATTTGATAGCTGGTTGTCAGCTTAGTGGGGAGTGAACTATTGAGCAAATGGTTTTGAAACAGCTGAACAGGCAAGGAGAGGAAGTAAGTGGTATTTACCCATCATACTTTATGTTTTTTCTTAATATTTTATTATTTTGAAGGTCGTAAAATACAACAGAACAAAACAATTGAGACAGTGTAGGTGAAATTGGTTCAGAACGTCTCAACAGGTTACCAGAATAACAGTAACATGTGCCCTAGTATATATCTTGTTATCTTCACAATAGGTGTTCTTTCAATCAGGTATAGCAAAATCAAGCCAAATACAGAACATTATAGAACTTATCAAAACAACATTGAATAGAGCAATACAATCAGAACAATGCACAAAGCACGATATTTGCCTTCAAAGAATCGGTAGAAGAAAATCCTGCCTATTTGCTATATTGCATATGGTCAACCTCCCAAGAGATGCTCAGACCTCTGGTTCCCATTTGCTAATAGGAAGGAGGGGTATGAGATGTTTGATTCTCAGCCCGTGCACGGTAGGCTGCTTACCAGACAGGCAAGCTGGTTGCTTGGTTTCCCAGAGCCCTAAGTTCCAACATGGCGCAGATCTGGGGAGACGCTGGGTGATTCTCTCCATGGGGCATTCGCAGCTTGCCCGAGCCATGGCTGCTTACTAGGGAGGTAAGCCACCCATCATACTTTAAACAAGGGTAAAACCCAAAAGGAACAAGCATTTAAATGCTAAAAAGAAAATCGTGACAAGTATTAAAAGAAACAATAGGAAAAGCCTGTACATCCTGAATTATAAAGCCTATCTAGTTGTATCACAGAAAAAAATGCCTAAAAGAGACTATTGATAAATGTTGAACAACCACACATAAAATCTGTTTTGACCTGTGAGGAAGGATAGTGCAAATTCAAAAGATAAATGAAGAAATTTTTAAATGTATGCCCATCACAAGATAAAGGACTAATTCCACACCTAAATAAGCAACCCTACCAGTCAGTAAAAAAAAAACTAAAATTTCTGCTGTCTGCTCTGACATGTAAAAGAGCTTGGAAGTCATGCCTCCTATCTCTACAAGAAAAAAGCTGCACAAACTGAAAATCAAGAACACCCCTAAGATTCTTCAGATAACTGAGGTCACAGGATAGACTGCTGCCCCAGACCTGGAGTGGCACAGAGTGCAGTCACAACTAGCTGGAGCAGTCAGTCAGAACCCTTGAGGCCTGGGGCATAGCTCAATGGTGAGCACCTAGCTACCTTCCTAGAGGAAGCTCCAACAAAAAGAATGAACACTTGAAAATACAATTGCTGAAAGCTTAGTGTGGACCAGTTTGAGGATTACAAATTCAGGGTGCCCAGTCTCTGGAGAACCACAACCACAACCACCTTTTACGACCTTCTTCTCTAAAGATCTCAGGAAAATTCTCCCATAAGAAGGGGAACAACCCTTTTGAAACCTACCTAGAAGCTGTCTTCAAGGAACACTATTTACTGGAGCTTAATGGAACCTAAGCTGGGAACTGGAAGAAGCCAGGTCCAGCCCACACTGGTCCTCAGTGTGGGGTGCAGAAATACCACAATGAGGCCAACAGGTGTGAACACAGTAACATGGAACAAACCTCTCCTTGTTGTGTCATGTCAGAGCTTCAGCTCTGACACAGAGCTAAGGGGATTGTGAGTTATGACCCTGCTGGGAACCATGGCACACACCTGTAATCCAGACACTTGGGAGGATCACAAGTTCAAGACCAACCTGGGCAACTTAGTGAGACCCTGTCACAAAACAGAAAAAGGCTGCAAATGGAGCTCCGTTAATAGAGAACACTCCCTAGCATGGGTTCAGTCCTCAGCAATGGAAAAGAGGAATTAGACCCTAGTTAAGTAAGCTCTAGGAAATCCTTTAGAAATTATAGCTGGACACCGGCACTACAGCAAGCAGTACATTCAGCCAAATAAACATTAAATCTCACACTCAGGGTAGGGGGAGCTTCTCTACCTCAGTAACTAATTCAGTCCATCACATCTAGCTGTCAGAAAAAAAAAAAAAATATATATATATATATATATATATATATATATATATGGCAAAAAATCAAGCTAACAAGCAACAATGACAAAAACTACATTCTGAAGAGATGAGGCAAAGCAAGGCCCAGACTGAGTTACAGCAGAGATCCTGGACTTCTCACACCGAAAACTTGGAATAAAAATTAGAGGCAAAATGTCTCCAGTGGAAAAAGTGGATCACAGGCAAGAACATATGACTCATGGAAGCAGAGAGGTGGGAAAAGCAAGAATCCAAAGTGTTAGATATCAAAAACCCTGTTACAGAAACGAAGGTCACCACCAACAGGGGCACCAGCAGACCCAACAGCGCTGGAGGAAGGATGGGAGACCCTGAAAGTTTGTCAACAGAAATGTCTCAGACTAAAATATGAAACAAAGCGATGGATCGGAATGTCAGATACGTGTGGGACAATTCCAAAAGCATGATTTGTGTGCAATAGCTATTCAGGAGAAGGAGGAAGAAAAATTTAAGCATGGCTGAGAGTTTTCTATAATTAATGACAGACCCCAAAGCACCAATCTGAGAAGCTCAGAAAACACCAAGGGGGTAAATACACAAAAAATCTGCAACTAGGCAGATTCAAACTGTAAATAATCAAAAGAAATTACTAAAACAATGGTTGGAGTAGGAGGCAGTTCACCTGCAAAGGAGCAAGAGTATGAATGATATACTTTTATTTCAGAAACCATGCAACAAAGGCGTGGAATGAAATATTTAAAGGACTCAGGGCTGGGGATTTAGCTCAGCGGCATAAGCGCCAGCCTTGCAAGCAGGCAGTCGTAAGTTTTATCCCTGGTACCGATAAAAATGAAGAAAAAAAAAAGACAAGGAAATATTTAAAGGACTGAAAGAAAAATACTAATAATAGAAGAGTCCATTTATAGAGAAGTAAATACAAGGGGTTATTAACATTAGATTGTTTTTTTTGAGACAGTAGTTTGCTGTGCAGTTCGGGCTGGCCTTGAACTCACTTTCTAGCTCAGGCTGGCCTCAAACTTGCAGCAATCCTCTGACCTCAGCCTCTGAGTGCTGGGATTACAAGCACGCGCCACCACGCTCAGCCTTAACGTTAGGTGTTACATTCAATTCTGTTGGAATGAAAGAAATGCAAAATGCAGTCATACCAACATGCAAATTTTAGCCTTGCATTCAACAGATGTTAGTGCCTGAAATCCTAATTGCCTGGGAGGCTGAGGCAGAAAGACTATAGGTTCGAGCCCAGCCTAGGCAATTTAGTGTCAAAAAATAAAATAAAATAAAGGGGCCTGGGGAATGTGGCTCAGTGTGCAGGCCCTAATCCAACCCCTAGTGCTACGAGGAAAAAACATGCAACCTTGTATGATGGCTAGGGCTATGATTCGTTGGTAGATATTTCCTATTATGAACAAGGCCCTGAGTTCCATCCCCAGCATTGCAAAAATCAAGAAAAGAGAAAATGCTGTGTGTTATGGTTTGGGAGTCAGACACTCTTAGACATTACTGGTGGAGATTCTGTTGGCATAACTTTCAGGAAGGGTACTTCGGCGATATGGATTGCATTCAAACTCCAAATGCACAGACCCAGCAGTCT